AAGGACAAACAGTGAACCAGTGGCAGGGTCATGGATGCCCACTGCTCACTGATGGTGAGGCTGACCTGCTATGGTTAAACTTTTAAACTTCATTCATCATTTTCAAAAGATTAAAATTAGTTTGAATCTTTGTTAAAATAGGTGAAAATGAAAAACACTGTACATTGGTCTCTATGAAGAGAAACAGTCAGCAGCTATAGTGGTGATATCACACCTGGAGTGATGAATTTGTCTAAAAAAGGATCTCTAACTTGTTTTCATGGCCACAGTTTTCACTCCTTTAACATATGTTTTTCACTGAATGATAAAAAAATGTGTGCTCTCCGTGACAGTATATGGAAGCAAACTGATTCACAGACGATGCACAGCGAGCTCCAGAGTGACACGAGCACCAACCAACTGCCACATTGACCCCTGTGTACACAGTGTAAGGCAGGTGGCCATAATGTTATGACTGGTCAAGTGTAAGTCCAAAGGTCACTCTCCTTTTAGCTCTGTTATGGTCGCCACCAAGTCCTGTGTGAATGAGAGCAGTGAAAATGAACCAAAGCAGTTCCAAAAACAATGAGCTGTGAAACGCTAAAACTGCAGATTTAAGCCATAATTCTCTGTGAATTTGTTCTAATTACTGAATCCTTTCACATTACACATAGTCATTTGATCTAGTATCAATACTCGAAATATTGATGAGCACAGCTTTAAGCTGACTTTAGATGAGTTGCTTCCAACAGGGCCCGTATTTCAGGAAATGCTTCCATGGGTCATGTCATTGGGTCGAGAAGAGTGACCTATGTACAGTAAATGATTATTTACAATTGAGGACTAGATGGCTTTAACACCTCTCTCATGGTGTCAGTGTAAACTGTACATCACATTATAATTCAAGGCCATTAGCCCTATGAGGGTATTTTGTTTTAAGGATTACTTTTCAACCACTGGTTTGTGGTGGAATAGGTGGAGCCTGTCTTCATGCATCCTGAAGGGAGCACGCTCTACCATCTTGCTACAGCACAGCTCTGTATAGCCAGGGTCTAATAGGATGTCATGTACTCTTAATTCCTCCCACCCCTGACATTCTTCATCATTTTGCAAGTTGTGGACTGCATTAAGGTTAAACCAGGCCTCATTTAAAGGGAAAAAAACAGTAAGAAGTCTGTTTTGTGCTGTTTTATGAAACTCTTCTTTTTTCCTTGTCTGCTATTGTGACTTCTCTGAGTGGGTGGATATAAGTGTTATGGACTAACAAGCAGCAATGGCTGCCAGGGGCAAGACGAGGCAGGAGATAGTCTATCCCTAGCAATAAATAGCCCAGAACATAATCCAAACTTGCAGCTGAACATTATGCAGAAAACTAACCGGCTTGTGCCACTGAATCTCAACAAGTTCAATGCCGCTATTAAGTACACTTACCACAGTTTTCCCCCTGTGAGCACTTCTAAACCCTGAAAAGTCATTATAGCAACTTACAGCCAGACCTACAGGCACACAAACTCTACAGAGAGCTGTCCTAATTGGCAGTCATCAGTTATCAATCACCCTTGAGGGTTATAAATAACTATAGATATTAATAGAAATTCTGTTTACAGAGCAGACTCTTGTGCCCTCTTTTATAAGCACACAAACAGTAAAGCTGTGTCCGAATATATAGGGCAGGACAACACAACCAAGAGTTGAGTGCTGACAAAACCAACCAGACAAATGAAAAAACAAGATTAAGCATCTGCAGCCATGCTGGTGACAGTAGACACAGCAGTGCTAAGTACAGCTGTCGAACTGGATAATGGACTCAAACATGAGTTATGAAAATTGCTTGTCAAAAGGGTTTTCTAGATTCCAGGTCTGCCTCTGTGTTGTGCAGCCCACTGTACTTGTGCATTCATTTCTGTTTCTGCCGCTGGCCCAACACACTCACACTCACCCTGCAGGGCTGGGATGATGTAATACAAAAAAAGACTAAATTAAATTAATCAATTAATTAAATTAAAATAATTAAAACTATTCAAATTAAATTCAAAATACAACTAAAGCAAAGCAAAACCAAAGCAAATTTATTTGTATAGCCCTTTTAAAAATCCAAGGTCAGAAAGTGCCTAACAATTAAAATAATTACACAATCATAAAATTCACACATACCTCTCACAAACACGATAAAGCTGGGATAAAAACAAATACAAACTTTTGGGAAAAAAAAAACAGAAAATAAAATAAAAGAACCAAACCTAGGTGGATTCATAAGTCTTTACCCAGAATCATGCCAGAGGGAATAGATATGTTTTCAGTAGTGATTTAAAAACTCCCAAGATAGGGGCATATCTAATATCTGGTGAGGGGCTGTTCCACTGTTTTGGGCCTTCAACTGCAAATGATCTGTCACTTCTAGGCTTTAGCCCAGATCTTGGCACTTCCAACAATAACTGCTTAGAAGACCAGAGATCATCCTGGATATAACAACTCAGTTAGATAAATGAATTAATTAAATTCATAAAGCAACTAGTAACAACTGACCCTTTTTGTAGTTGTAGGTGGGCTGTCAACAGAGCTTTCTGAGCTGCAGGGGCCACTGTGACGAATTGGTAGCAGGACTAACTGTGCTTAACCTCATCCATCATCCATGTGCTTAACAGGTCATGCTTACCAGGTTTACTATCTTAATTTAGCACATTAGCATGCTAACATTTGCCAAATTAGCACTAAACACAAAGTACAGCTGAGGCTGATGGGAATGTCAAATGCATTGTCATGGCAATCCATCTAATAGTTGCTGGAATATTTTATTGAAAACCACAATGTCGACCTTCTGGTCACATTGCACAAGACATCAGAGGATTCATCATCTGGGGACCAGGAATGTGTACATAATTTTGAGCAAATCCATGAATTAGACAGTCGGGTCTCATGTATTCATTCATTCATTTTCATTCATTTTCTACCGCTTAGTCCCTGAACGGGGTCACGGGGGGGCTGGAGCCAATCCCAGCCGGCAATCGGACAAAGGCGGAGTACACCCTGGACAGGTGGCCAATCCATCGCAGGAGACTAACAACCACACACACATACACATACACTCCTTGGGCAATTTAGAGACACCAATCAACCTAAGCTGCATGTCTTTGGACTGTGGGAGGAAGCCGGAGTACCCGGAGAGAACCCACGCAAGCACAGGGAGAACATGCAAACTCCACACAGAAAGGTCCCAGGTGGGGCCCGAACCCAGAACCTTCTCGCTGTGAGGCAGTTTCATGTATATCTATGCCAAATGTCATGTGGACCAAAATACTGAAGCAACTGAAAACTTCAGAACAGGAAATTTGTACAACCACAATTTCATGGCAACTTCATCTACTGAAGAAGATCAGCAGCTCCTGATAAAACTGATAAGACTGTTTTCATTTTTTTTAAAAGCTTGCTTATCCTGTAAAGAACTACGAAGAACTACCAAATAGCTGTTTTTTGTACATATGCTTAGACTATATTTTCTAAAATGTTTCCAGATATTTTTTGATTAATTGTTTATTTGTTTCCTGCAGTATTTCCTGAAATTGGAAACTGATAGTTGGTGAACCTGGACCAACCTCTGTATGAGTAAACAATTGCATCAAATGGTCAAGGCTTCATTTTCATTCATATATCAAAGCAAAATGGAAATACAGACAGAAGTCTATTGCAAGCGCATAAAAAGACAAATACTTTTGAGAGAATCTCAGCATCACCCTTTCCCCCCCTTTTCCCCAAGCAGCTGAGTCAGTTTATAAGATCTGCTTGTCTGGAGAAGACTGTACTGCTGCATGACAACTGGAGCACAAAGGGTTTCAACCTGTCACAGACATGTACTGTACACAAACACAGCTGCTGTGGGTCCCTCCTGTGACCAGGTGAAGTGCACAGGCTGCCTGAGAGCTCATTATTTGTATGTTTGTGTATTTATATGT